TCAAGGTAAATGCAGTCCGTTTGATGAATACCGATTTTGAGTGATAACAGTACCTTGAGGTAAAAGAGGTAAAATTTACCTCAAGGTGCTTTCCATTCAATACCAAACACTTTGAGCTAAATTCTCAAGGTAAAATTTACCTTGAGAATTTACCTCAAGGTACTTTTGTGAATACGGGTATTTGCTGATAATGAGCGATAAAACTACCTGGAGGTAGAATTTACCTCAAGGTATCAATGATGAATACGCCCACAGTACTTCACACATTTGTAGATATATAAGACTAAATCCACTCAACATTCATAAAACATGGCATTCAGAAATGAAACAACGAGTATGGAATTTTTGGAAACTCAAGGCAAAATGGTTCTTCGCAGGCGATTGCACCTCGTTTCACTATTTGGCTTGCCTTTTCGCGGCATCTGATCCAAAACGGTTTCATAGTGTTTGGTAGCAGCTGATACATCGACGCTTTGGTGAGTCTTGTTTTTTCGGGAGACGGTAGAATGGCGAGCACTGATCAGCTGTCACTAGCTATTGAGAACAAGAAAGAAGTTCAAAGTCGTATTGTTCTTTTCAAAATTTACCCCTATGTGATCCTTCGCTAACTTCCTTACATATTGACAAAACTTTAGAAGGCTGGAAATCTTGCTTTTCTGGAGGACGGATCCATTCTGGCAATGGCGACTTTCGTGACGCGCGCCATTTGACTTAACCCGTTTTTTCGAGCTCGATCAGGCCATGCTTGGATCTGACTGGTATAGAGGACTCGAAGTAGGGCTTCAGAAGCCACGATTTGGCGCCGGAAACTGATATTTTGATAGATTTTCCAGTAGGTACAATCAGGAAAACATGTCGTGGCTTGCCAAGAGAAGTGATAGGCCGAAAGCTAAAGAGGACAAATGATTGCACAACAAAGGGGCGACACGATCTTACAACTAGTGCTCAAATGGAAACACGAAAGAGACGTCCTCATGTTATCCACCATGTACAAAGCGGACATTCTGAGTGAAAAGCCTAGAGTCATCTCTCACCACAATGCCGGCAAAGCGTTCATTGATATATCGGATCAAGTGGCTGCTTATGGGCCTTTCGCTAGGAAGACTAAGAGATGGAATCTCGCAAGAAAAAGATACTCGATCGCAGTGACGATTGGGTAAGCTAGAACCTAGGGGTCGATATCAAGTGGGTCAGCGCACATGCAATATTAGGTTTAGATGTGACAAAAATATCTCTCCGTAAATTTTCTACTCCTTTTTGAGAACATTTTTTTTTTGAAATAACATTTCATAAAGGAAAACGGTTTGAGGAGCGATGAACTTCACCAATAATTCAGCATTTCTCGAAAGCCCTGCCATGACCTTGGGAGATTATGGGAAAATCTCTTCTTAATTACCACACTTTTCCAATTCCCCCCCCCCCCCCCCCCCCGCCCGCCTTTCATGGACACTCATTCAGACAATAAAAAAGCTTGATCACTAACCTTTTGAAAACTTTGCTTGATCCAGTTTCTTCCAACAAATTTCATGAAGATCGCTAGGAAGTAATAGAATACACATCATTTTGGAAGTAGAAGGACATCAACAATGGTGTACACTACAAACAACAAAGCTCTTTTTGACAGCAAGAAAATCAATTGTCTTAAAACTTGCCAAAAATCCTCCAAGTTGGATGTCATCCAGTTGAATGGAATCTTACTACGTAAAGAGACACCACCTCCAACCCATGACTACCGAATTCTATTGCGCTATTTTGTCACAATATTTGGCGAGCTTCGTGCAAATGTAATCAATTGATATTTTTTAAAACAAAATTTTTAGCAACGACGCATGCTCTAAGTGCCGCTTAAAGGTATCGTTCCTCAAAGCTGTGAGTATTGAGATTTTACAGTATCGCAATGGTAGACCCTCCAAATAACCTATCAGTGAAATTTGGAGCGAGAGAGCGCATCTGGAAGGCCTCAAATCCACTTTAGAAGTCTTCCGGACCCCGCCCACTTACACGTAGTGTGAGCGAACGCGGATTTGGAGAGCTCCGAAAAGGGCTCATCTTAGTCATTTTCATGCGCTGAGAAGCCCAAATATGATTCCAGCATGACGAAAAGGCTTCGAAAAGGTAGAAAACTGAGAAGCGAGATTTTGCCGGGACACTGCCTTCAACTAACATATTTATAAGAAAAAACTATCTTACTGCTCTCACAGAATAAAAAGCAAAGTCAAACATTTGCTCACAACGTATCCTGAAATTGCTCTACGTGCTACCTAAGGACCGTCATCATGAGAACTGTCCAAAACGCACAAAAATCTATTAGGCTGGAAAACTAAGTTTTGCAACTACTTTTATAACTCAACTCTCTTTAGGTATGGCGCGCTCAAACTTTGGCAGTATGTAGAGCGCAATGTGAGCTAAAATTCTTCAAAACTGTTTGAATTTTGAGAACGAACTAGGAAAATATCACGCACTTTTCGAAAACTACTGAATTTATGGAATTTTTGGGTTCAAACCAAAATAGAGCCTTTAGCAGCTTAGATCATGCGCAATAATCCAGAATCGTGTACGAACTGTTGCTAGATGTTGACTCATTTGGCTCCCCATGAAAGAAATAAAATTTAGGGGCAAGTCGAGATTTGGCGCTCTCGTGAATTCGAACGAGTCGATCATTGACTAAAAAGTCAGAACCGGAAAATCCCCCGAGCCTTTACATACCGAGGTTCTCTGACCTGCTAAACACGAATATTGTATTTTTGCTGAATCAACACCTTTTCCCTTGTTTAGGGTGAGACCCTATTGCAACAACACTCGATTAAATTTCGAAATACGATCCCGAACCTTTTGCGAAAACATGCTTCAGTCACTCGTTATGAAATTTGACTGTACCCAAAACGCGTGCTACTATTGGCACCAATCCAAGGCCAAAGATCAATTTCATCATGATTTCTCTGTCTGCTGTATCCTTATTTTGTAGTGTATTAATACTTCTTCTGACAGTTTCTTCTTATTACAAGTTATTGGCAATCAACAACCGATGCTAATAGTGAAGCACGGTTGGCATACCCGGCGGACACACGCCGGTGAGAGACCCGTAGATTCCGACGGTGAGAGGTGCGTGGCCCAGAGGCTCTATAGGGATCGATTTGGATCCAATGGGATGGGTGTGGCCTACTCAGACATTCGCGGTTAAGTCCCGCAGGAGATCCGCCCACAAAATGAGAAATCGCTAGAAAATCAGGACTCTTGCGCGACATCCGGTTTTGTCCCGACTTTCGGGATTATCCCGACAGAAAAATTGAAGCGGGAGATTATCGGGAGTCGCGATTTCGGGGCGCGCTTCCAGTGTCTGAGCGTTAAGGAAACTTGCGTGAAATACGACGCATGATCAGACCCTCAATGTCCACAACTTTCCAATCTTACAGGCAAGAACACTGTCAATATGTTGTCTAACTGACAACCTCTGATAGGATCTTGGCGCTATCCAATTTTGAACTCGGACTTGGTTTCCGAAGCTGCTGTACGGTGGCTTTAACTGATTTTATGAGCGGGGGTCCCGCTTATATACAGTCTCAGACTCCGATATATAGATCGGAGTCTGAGATAGTGAGAAGGGCGGAGCCCTAGCTAAGGTGGTCCACGCCTTCAATCTGATCTTAGAATATTTAGTCTTATCTGTTGCACTCATTGAGTTTAGTTGTGCCCTCTTTTATTTTCCTTTGTTCTTTATTACTACGGTGTCCACAGTCTTTCGTAATAAAGATTATTGGATTAGTTGTGTCTCTTGATCACATTTGAATTGCCGTTGTTTCGAATCGCAGATTGCGAACTGAAACATAAGAAACCGACTATTTGCCGTGTTCAACGGATCTGAGGTAGTCAAGTGGTAAACAAGAAATCGTTATATGTTACGTAGTGATCCTCACCATGGTTAGCTCGTATTGGTCTGCCGCTACGTCTATGTTTAGACGTAACTTGCCCTATGACCGTCGACTGAGTTCACTCCCTTAATTTTAACAGCGAAAGTTTTCTATCTCAATGGAAACACTTCTGATTTTTGAAGAGATCTCTAGACTATAACCACGTTCGTTTTTTCGTTCATCAGAAAAAATACTTTGCGTTGAGCTTTCGTGTTGCCGTTGTTTTATTTAACTTCTATAAAGCTGAATGTCTTTTTGCATTCTTTCTCCTCTTCAAAAGTACCCGTACTTTTGTTGAATCGATTTGAGCACTTTGAGCAGGGCTAAGAGTTGCACAGGAAGAGGGGTGTTTGATCGGTTCCACGATTCGTATAGAGGCGAATTGCGCACTTTCCCTGATTGCAGAGATAATTTGTTAAACCTCCACATCATACCTTTTTTACTACTCTCTCGTTATCAAAAAACCGAAAGTTGGGAGACCCGCCTCTCTACGAATCGTGGAGCTGATGATAAGTAAACATGCTCATAACGAATGCAATAAGCATTTTCAAAAGTGATTTTTACTTTTAATGACTTTTACCTTTTTGCAATTTCGATAAACTGGGCTATAAGTTGTTTGCGGGGAAAGTAAGTGAGAGTGACGGTTACGAACACGAAGGGAAGGGAGCGCATATGGGACAGAGACAGATGTTGTGTGGAAATGGGAAGGAATGGTTAGTTTACATCCAGGGCCCGGCATGAGTCCGTTTCTAGGCTGAAAAAAGTTCCCCTGACTTTCGCAAAATTTGCAAAGTCTCCTTTGACCCTTCTCGGAAACGTCGACTAAAAAAAACTAAAACGACTTGTGTTTTTTCGGACACACAAAAACAGTATCTCTCTGCTTTTTCGTCTCAAAAACGAAGTCCAGCCCGCTTCCAAACGATCTGTGCTCATCGCTGGTTAAATCATGTGATGTTGATTGGGACCGAGCAACCGTGGTCTTAGGTAGTATCCCGTAAAAGGGAGAACATCTGCAACCTAGCTAACACAAGTCTGTGCATGTTAATGCTGACAGGCTGATAACTGCATAAGCTACCACTCTATTTTATCCTTATGCAAAGTCTGAGCTTGTGGTTCTGTCTAATCACTCTAGAAAACAGCGTTCTCCACTCAAAAGTAAGCATCAATCCATGTAAGCCTAATAATAGCGTCATTGCTCATGCTTATCGTCGCACTTATGATTTGTGATGTGCTGAGAATTGAAGAGACGAAAGTCGGCGTGCATTTGCCAAGATAGTTGTGCTAGGTTTTTTCCACGTAGACAGTTCCAAAGTACAGACCCGTAGCTAACGTAACATGACTCAACAATTGACAAGCGTTAGTTTTCAAGATTTACCAGTTATGGCCTCGTACAGAGTTCACGCGATTTGATCGTCGCGATTCAAACGCTACAGGCAAGTGTTACGAGTTCACTGCATGCCGATCTTCTTGCATTTCGGTTGTGTAGTTAGTCACGATTAGTCGTGTTGGAAAACTATCACAACCGAAATACAAGAAGATTGGCATACAATGAACTCGTAACATTCGTCTTGTAGCGATTGGATCGCGACGATCGAACCGCGTGACTCTGTCCGAGGCCTATAGCGTAGAAAACCGAGGCGAGTGCTTTTTGTTTCTAGCTTTTATCGTAGCGTTAATCACCATTTTTATTATCGTATTATCGTTATTATTATCTTTCTATTATTATCGTTTTAGATCAACGGACAGATCTCTGATAATGATGGATCTAACGAGCGCACCACAAGTGAGCAATATTAGTATTTCGTAATGCAACAAAAAAGCTGATCTCATAACGGAGAAAAAGAACAGAGGAATTAGTCTGAATGGTTGCAAGTGACCATTTCGACCAATATCTTTGTTTCGCGAGCTTTAGGCTGGGTTCATACTGATTCCAAAGTTCGGGAACAGTTTCAGCAGAATTTTCCATGTGTTTTCGTCTTGAAACCTGGGCATCTTCGACTGTAAGTTTGATGTTCTAATATTTCTTACGCCGCACAGGTTGGTATGGTGGATCTTTATCGACCCAACGTTTCGAACAACTCGTCTTCGTCGAAAGTCTGAAAAGGATTGTAGTTTACGTACCCATTGTACTGTGCTGCCAAACATCTCGTCTGAGTCCGCTTCGCTTGACGTTTTCTCAGACGCAACGTACTGAGAACATCAAACGAGGGCAAACGAACCTTCGGTCCACCAAAGAGTTAGTAGTCCGCACTAGATCAGTGTGAGACATCACTGAGTTGTGCCTAGTGGGTCTTGCTACTTATAGTGTGCGGTATCGAGTTCACACAACGATACCAGTGGTAGTAGATCACTCGTTATCGTCAGACATTTATTTCTGTTGTTCATACTCAGATTACGAGAGTATATCCACGTTGCTTCAAGGGTTTTTCGTGCTTGAATGTCAGTCTCAAACGCTAGGATGACACATTTAACGCTAAAATCATTGCCGCCGTGCTCTTCAAATTTATGCTTGCCTAACGGAGACAATAGATTTCCTCGCCTCATGTTGGCCAAATGCTCGCTCACTCTAGTACTCAGGGGTCTACCCGCCTCTCCAATGTACGCTGCAACTCAAGCATTCTAATTGGTAGACAGTTCCGGATTTGGCGCAGCCCCCAATATTCCCCTTAGGACAGACTATGGAGTTCTTTGATACAAATTCAACATCGCAAACTCTCTTTCTGACCAACCGCCTTTTGATATTATCGCTAGGAATGTCAATCAACATGACTTCATTTTGCAACTGTGCTCGCAGAATGCATTGTCTTATGGCCTGGCTGATTCTATCGGAAACAAAGGGTATGCACAAAGGAATCTTGTTGTTCTTGTTGCGCTCCGTAAGGCTGCGTTCATGCTGATCCTGAAGTTCGAGGACAGTTCCAGCACAGCGCTCGAACTAAGCGCTGTGCTTGAACTGTTCCCAAACTTGCGGATCAGTATGAACACATCCTAAGACTAACACATTCACAACAGTTAGACTGTCTTTTACGTGATCGTCCTGTTCCAAGCATATAGCCATTACTGAGTGCAATGTCAGCCGCCATTTGTCGTGACTCGCGTCGCTCGTCATCGCCTGTACACATTTCGGTAGCAGTTTTGAACATGTTATGTATAACAGCATGTTTAACTGCTGAGGGGTGAGCTGACGTAGCGTATAAGAGGATGTTCCTAGAGCTTTCCTTTCTGTACCATTTTATGCGAACGGTGTTGTCACATAAGCTGACCAGTGTATTCAGAATGGAAAGCCATCCACCGCGAGGTGTTTCACGTGTAAGCCAGATGTACTGTGACTGCTGATTCAAAATTCGAAAACACTCATCCATTTTGGATTGTGTTGAGGTTACGATACAGCAATCATGGATGTATCGGCAGTACATCATTGGTAAGCGTGCGAGTACTGGTTTTTCGATCTTACTCATGTAGCATATTGCGATGACTGGAGCAAGTCTTTGGCCCATTGCGAGTCCTCCGACTTGAGAGTAGTAATTTCCAGACCATTTAAATATGTTACACTTGAGGCATTCTCTGACTAGAGTATGCAATTTATGCTCAAACCAAAGATGTTGTTAGAGTAGTATTTGTCCAACATTTCCGAGAGCGCTTGCAAAGCAGCATCAACATGGACGTTAGTGTATAGAGATGTTACATCAAACGATTCTATGACACTGTTTGGCTCAGGTTTCAGCTGTTGTAGCTGCTCAATGAATTGACGTGTGTTAGACAAGTGCGCTGGAATATTTGTGAGCAATTCGCTTAAGATGATTTACCAACATGCTACCTCCAGAGATTTTCAGTCACAGTGCAAAACGTTGAACGAGATTTGGATCAGTGTCAGTAGAAGCAGGGTTTGATGATAATTTCGTGAAGAGATTGAAAGTGAACAATCCAAACTGTCCCGTATTCTATCACTTACTGAAAAGCCATAAAGTAGCAGCTCACGAGACCACCTCCATGTCGCCCGAAACCTACAAGATTCGCCCCATCATAAGCTGCGTAGGTGGTCCCACCGACCGAATATGGTGGTTTTTAAACAAAATCTTAAGCCAATTGCTCACAAAGGTTCCAGCGCACTTGTCTAACACACGTCAATTCATTGAGCAGCTACAACAGCTGAAACATGAGCCAAAAAGTGTCATAGAATCGTTTGATGTAACATCTCTATACACTAACGTCCATGTTGATGCTGCTTTGCAAGCGCTCTCGGAAATGTTGGACAAATACTACTCTAACATCAACATCTTTGGTTTGAGCATAAATTGCATTCTCTAGTCAGAGAATGCCTCAAGTGTAACATATTTAAATGGTCTGGAAATTACTACTTTCAAGTCGGAGGACTCGCAATGGGCCAAAGACTTGCTCCAGTCACCGCAATATGCTACATGAGTAAGATCGAAAAACCAGTACTCGCACGCTTACCAATGATGTACTGCCGATACATCCATGATTGCTGTATCGTAACCTCAACACAATCCAAAATGGATGAGTGTTTTCGAATTTTGAATCAGCAATCACAGTACATCCGGCTTACACGTGAAACACCTCGCGGTGGATGGCTTTCCATTCTGAATACACAGGTCAGCTTATGTGACAACACCGTTCGCATAAAATGGTACAGAAAGGAAAGCTCTAGGAACATCCTCTTATACGCTACGTCAGCTCACCCCTCAGCAGTTAAACATGCTGTTATACATAACATGTTCAAAACTGCTACCGAAATGTGTACAGGCGATGACGAGCGACGCGAGTCACGACAATTGGCGGCTGACATTGCACTCAGTAATGGCTATATGCTTGGAACAGGACGATCACGTAAAAAACAGTCTAACTGTTGTGAATGTTTTAGTCTTAGGATGCGTTCATACTGATCCGCAAGTTTGGGAACAGTTCAAGCACAGCGCTTAGTTCGAGCGCTGTGCTGGAACTGTCCTCGAACTTCAGGATCAGCATGAACGCAGCCTTAGGCCCCGGGCAGACTTCACGCGATTTGATCGTCGCGACTGAGTCGCGACGAGACAACTGTTACAACATCATTCCATGCCGATCAACTTGCATTTCGGTTGTGATACTTTTCCAGCCCGAAATTTTTGAATGTGAAATGAAAATGAATGGAAATGTCGGCGATTGAGTCGCGACGATCAAATCGCGTGAAGTCTGACCGGGGCCTTACGGAGCGCAACAAGAACAACAAGATTCCTTTGTGCATACCCTTTGTTTCCGATAGAATCAGCCAGGCCATAAGACAATGCATTCTGCGAGCACAGTTGCAAAATGAAGTCATGTTGATTGACATTCCTAGCGATAATATCAAAAGGCGGTTGGTCAGAAAGAGAGTTTGCGATGTTGAATTTGTATCAAAGAACTGCATAGTCTGTCCTAAGGGGAATATTGGGGACTGCGCCAAATCCGGAACTGTCTACCAATTAGAATGCTTGAGTTGCAGCGTACATTGGAGAGGCGGGTAGACCCCTGAGTACTAGAGTGAGCGAGCATTTGGCCAACATGAGGCGAGGAAATCTATTGTCTCCGTTAGGCAAGCATAAATTTGAAGAGCACGGCGGCAATGATTTTAGCGTTAAATGTGTCATTCTAGCGTTTGAGACTGACATTCAAGCACGAAAAACCCTTGAAGCGGCGTGGATATACTCTCGTAATCTGAGTATGAACAACAGAAATAAATGTCTGACGATAACGAGTGATCTACTACCACTGGTATCGTTGTGTGAGCTCGATACCGCACACTATAAGTAGCAAGACCCACTAGGCACAACTCAGTGATGTCTCACACTGATCTAGTGCGGACTACTAACTCTTTGGTGGACCGAAGGTTCGTTTGCCCTCGTTTGATGTTCTCAGTACGTTGCGTCTGAGAAAACGTCAAGCGAAGCGGACTCAGACGAGATGTTTGGCAGCACAGTACAATGGGTACGTAAACTACAATCCTTTTCAGATCTTCGACGAAAACGAGTTGTTCGAAACGTTAGGTCGATAAAGATCCACCATACCAACCTGTGCGGCATAAGAATTATTAGAACATCAAAGTTTCAGCAGAGTCGCACTGTGCTGGAACTGTGCTGCATGCGCTGCAGCCGCTGGCATGCGGTTTTCAGCGGCTGAAATGACAATTTTTGACTTCCTTCAACGGTTTTAGTACAGAGCAATTAACAGATCTCTTTCCATACAAGGATTACGGTATGAACTTGAAGAGGGTTTTGAATCATTGTGAGCCATACCCGAAGTCATAACAAGAACGAAACAAGCTGGGTACACGCACACTAGACAGTAGTGCGCTTACGGTTCCGAGGTGTAGACTTCAATTTTCTTTGATGAGCAACAACACTGGAATACATATACACAGCTGCGATTCTATACGTCTACGCTACTACTCTTCAAAACTAAGAATCGTTTACCTAAAGCAAAGCAATGCAAAGTAATTTTGAAGTATATCAGAGAGAGAGAGAGAGAGAGAGAGAGAGAGAGAGAGAGATAGAGAAAGAGAGAAAGAGCGAGAGAGAGAGAAAGGACTTGCAGCACAACTACATAATTAAGCATATATGAAGCACAGCAATAATAGTAGGCATAAGCCGAAACGACAGTCACTCACAAGGTGTCCAAATGGAAAGCGCACAGCAACAGGGGAGAGGCCGCTTTCCAGAGCGGAGCATCTTCAACTCCAACCAGCTAGACCTCGCCCGCTCGTCTCTAGCCAAAAACCTGCACTTTTGGTTGTGAATTTTTTTACGCTCCGCACTAGCTATAGCTGCTATGAGACTGTCTAGTGCGGTATGATTCGGTGTAACTGATGACCTGTTTGATGGCAACGAGGTAAACGTACTGTTCGTGTAAAAGGATGTCTTTGCAGCTTTCTTTGCGATCCTATTTGATGTGTACCGCGTCGTTCGTGAACCTTAGCTGAATGTATTTACGGCAGCCAACCGTCTTTCGGTCTGAAGTTGTTCATTCAGTTGGACGTTGTTACACATATAGTATGGATATGGACCCTACGCAGCACATGCATTTTGGTTTTCCTCATAAAGCAAATAGCGATTTCTTATCGCTGTTTGCTTTATGAGTCTTAGCTGTGGAGGACAAGATATCTTCTCGCAAACAATTAACAATTCCACCACTACTTGAGCAAATCCTATAATAGGACTGTGTCCATTCTTCTGTTATCAGTGGGGTGCCAGCTACTGTCGTGCGGCATGATTCGGTGAGATATTGACCCGAATGCTCGGCTATGTTCATTCATGATGAATACCGAATAGTCTCTAGAGGAGAAGTATGAATATGTAAGGTTTGAATTTAGGTGACTGATTTACATTTAGCCCTCTGAGGAATGCAGTGTTGCCGAAACGTTGGGCCAATAAATGTTCGTTAATTCAAACCGCAGGGCGCAGAAAAATCAAGATAAGATCTATTGTTTGACTGTTTGAGTATTTCGCTTGAGAGTCCTGTTTGATTTCGCTTAAAGGCAGAGTCCAGGCAGATCTGGTCCTATGGGAATTTCAAGTGGAAAGTAATTTTGGGGCTCTAAGTAAGCCACTGCTCAGCCGGTAGCTCAGGTAGTGCTTTAACGGCTGAGATATTCTCCCCGAAACTGGATCCCGGGATCGTATCCGCATGGATTCATGGTGCAACCCATCTTCGCGCGAGACCCATGGAGTTGCGCCGTGAATCCATGCAAATACGATCCCGGGGTCCAGTTTCGAGGAGAGTATCTCAGCCGTTAGACACTACCTGAGTCCCCCGTGTTGCGAATTGCTGGTCCTGGAGCGAAAACTTGCACTTTGAAAAGCCGCCAAATGAAAGATTCCAAACCTCATCGCAGCGATTTCATCCGGTTTTCAGCAGTTTCTTTTGCTTTTTACATCTATTTTAGTCAATTTCTCTTCTCTGCTCTTCTTTAAAACAACCTTCACTATTTATGAGGTCAGATGTTCAAACAACCTTCACTTTTGACGCCCTGTCTCTAGGCTATCGAAGGTATGGCTGGGACTGTGCTGCATGCGCCGCAACCGCCTCCATGTGGTTTGGAGCGACGCGAAATAACAACTTTCGACTTTCTTTAACAATTCTCATAAAAAATTTTGCTCTTTTTCACCTCATTCTTGTGTCTCGCTTTCTAATCAAAAAAGCTTGAAACTTGGAGAGGGATACAAAAATGAGCGCGATTTCGTTTCGTGCATCAGCGGAAAACTGTCACAAAATGATGCCGCTTCTGGTCGTGTACATTTCTCCGAATTCGGAGTTTTTTCATCAGAATCGGGACAGTAATCAAGAACGAAAGAGCAAGCAATAAAAGTTGTGGGAAAAAATAGGGCTGGAACGCCCAGAAACCCAATGCCAAGAAAACAAAAAGAAAAATGCGCGATTTCCGCAATCGTGATTGTTGTATGGGAACGGGCATAGTGTTCGCGATATCGTCGTCGCGATTTCGTCGCCGGGGAATTCGATGGTTTGGGCGACGAAATCGCGACGACAAAATCGCTCTTCGAGAGGACATGGGCATAGTGCTCGCGATCCCAAGTCTTTGCACAAAATCTGACTAGAATTTGTTCTCATGGAATAATCCGCTTATTCACTCTCAGCATCCACCATTGCTCATGCCAATCGTGATAATACTCGAGTACAGAAATTTTCATTTTTCTGCCTTTCATCAAGTCCATTCCTCACAAGCTTACCACTTGTTGGCAAATGCTCGCCTACGAATGTTGCCCTTTGAAAGCTAACAGCTATAACTAGGACGCTCTTCGCTAAGTTTTTGGAAGAAGCAATCAGAAGGAACATATTGGAAAGATGACGTGGGCATTTGTAGCGCCTAGCAGAAACTTACTAGGAGTTTTTTAGAAAAAATCGAGCAGAGCACTAGAAGACTGCGGAAACACACAAACATAACCGTTTTGTGCTGATGCACCAGTATCAAAAACAGAAATTCTCCTGCAATGCGAATTGCAAAACGTGAGATTATCCATGCGAAATGAAATGATAAATTACAAGTTTAGTTTGCAAAAAGCAATTACTCACAAAAAAAGCACTAAAAAACAAATTAGCCTAGATCTGTATAGCAAACGGGACACCCAACAATTACACAACTTCTTACACAGGATTTTCTTTTTCTTCAATCAAAAACAAGTTAAACATCAATGCATGTCTATGAAAGTCTCTCAAAATCTCATTCAACATCAGCGATATCGCCCAGTCGCCCGTGCAACACGCGCGACGCGACATCGCTGAGTTTCGCCGAAATCGCGGCGATTATCGCTGCAGAACTATGCCCTAGCTAAAAAGGGTCCGCGATCCGTCGCGCCGGACGAGTATCACAAGCGCCGTAGCAGACGCATAGGCATGCAACGAGTGCGTAGCAGTTGTCAATTCAAAAATCGCAGCGCGACGGTATCGTGGACACTATGCCCTAGGCCGTATCAGTCACTGAAGATAGCTGAAGATATCGAGGGTGCAGACTGTCTGAGATACAAAAAGAGCGTTTAACAGAAAAACGCGAAGGAGAAGGGGCGCGCAAAATAAATTATTCTATTTATGCAAGACATGAAAAATTCATTCTCGAATTCCGCTATAAAGGGCAGTGGCTCGGCAAAACCAAACATCTCGAAATTTTCACGTGGAAGGTTGCTTGCATCTCAAACATCAGAATAGAGCAAGTCTGAGCGCACTACACGCTGCCCCTGCCTAGAAATCTGCCCCTAAACAAGTGCGCGCAAGCCATTCTTACGCGCGCTCGGATTAGCTTGCGGTCCCCTTTCCACCGTCAGAGGCGGCATGCCGCAATGCTTTGTACATGAGGGTCCTACAACTCTATGTTTCTAGCCATGGCAGGGAGTGGTCCACTCGTCCAAATTTGAATTGAGAACCCTTGGGAAACACTAATTTTCAACGTTTTCATGCTCTTTAGAGTGTATTTTCGAATTCAGCGCGTCGAATCACCCCAGATAAGAGAGAAAAGTTCAGGTTGAAGATTTGCCGAGCCACTGCCTTTAAATTCGTAATTCTCTATCACAAGAAGAAGCAAGATGTGAGGATGAGACGAAAATAGGCGTAGTTTGCAATTAAAACTGTTAACAAAGTCAAAAGTTGCCATTTCGCGCCGCTTAAAACCGCATGCTGACGGCTGCAACGCAAACAGCATAGTTTCGGCGAGTTCCGGAACACTCCTAGCACAGTGCGAGAACTGTGCTGGAACTGTTCCGGAACTTCGGGATCAGTATGCCCCATCCAGCCAAAGAACATTTTCCAAAAATCATTTTGTTGAGCAACGATCACTAGTAGACGCGTAGAAACATCTTTGCGTAATGATCTCAGCAGCATTTGTTTTTAGCAGGTGCGAGTTCCATATCTTTATCGTCAACGTCGTCATCACTCAAATTGATAACAACAGCTAAAAAGACATGGAGAATGGTTAAGACGTCAGATAAACCAACCAAATACGAACAGGTATCGATGTTTAAAGATGACACCAACTTAGAAATCAACGCACTGTAACCGAAAAGTGCGTACAAAAGTACCGGATTTGGATGCAATACAGTCGCAAGGCTTCTAATTGACTAGGGACCCAAAGTCGAAATCAGCTTTCCAAATGAAATTTATAACAATCTGAAGGGCGTCAGGCGCAGTTTCCAATACCTCAGACAGCGGATAGGACCCCTCCGCCGGAGAAATGGCAGGGTCGCGGCGTTTCCCCAGCGGTGGGTCTGCCACTCGTCCGCCGGAGCCCTCCCATTTTCTGCTCCGGATACTTCCCAATTTCTGCTCCGGATACCTCCCATTTTCTGCTCCGGAGACCTCCCATTTTCTGCTCCGCAAGTCTGCCGCGGCATACTGTAATTAGCCCTAATTAAGCTCCAAACCCCAATTATGTCTCTAAACCCCACCCAAATTAGCCGAATACGACCCTTCCCCCCCCCGGGTAAGAGTTCAGCGCGACCCTCAACCCCGTTCTTTACCCCCTCCCTCTCACCCCTAGCGTTTGTGGATAGAAGATAGAAGAATGAAGAAACAAGACATTTATTTCAAATTAACTGCAAACAATCTCCTGCAAATTGCAAAGCAAAACTTAGCAGCTACAAAACGGACAACAAAGCAGTAAAGCAGTAAAGCGATAAGGTACGTCTGGTTCTGACTACGAGCATTTTCAAGACGGCAAGAAACCTCTGAAAATCGGATGAAGAGCAAAGAATACCAAACACATGAGCACACAAAAAATCCCCTACCGCTGAATATTGTGATAGTGAGATAAGGGTACGAGTTGGCAAGGCTCTGACAAACAGCCTGCTGATCCATAGGGAAACAATGGCTGTGCGAATTTGTAACTACTGGCGATTTCAACTGCACAGCTGGAGAAGACGCCATGTTTCCTTCGGTAGACGCCTTCTAAAAAAGGAAGACTCACTTGTAAAGAAATTGTCTCTTGAGAATCTCAATCATATGGACTGTAGCATCTGTGACAACCGCGATATAAATTCGCACGGATCTCGGCGAGAGAGAACACGACTGTATCATAGATCCCAACTGGTCATCGACTTGGAACATTAGTCAAAACCAGGCGTAGAGGGATTGCGCAGCTGCTGTGACTGCACAAACTTCGCTAAAAATGTCTGGCTAGGTTGTCCTTCAGAAAGGATGGAAATCAAGTGGTGCGCACTTGCATATGCTGAAACTGAGAATTCAAAAAAGTACTCAAAGTTGAAGTTCAGTAATCATAATGAACCAATCACGATCAAAATTGGGACTTCTTTTTCGAGGTCCTCCATTTCATTAACAAAGTCTGTTTTGCGTAAAAGGCCAGGACACAATTACGAACAAACTTTAAACATCAGAATTTGGCGGTTTGAACTGGAGACGCCTGTTCTCAAACTTACATTAGTGGGATAAAACTAGAGACTTGCCTGTATTTGAACACGGTGCATGTACTCGATTACATGTTTTCCCTCTTCCGCGTTGCAAGGTCATGACCTCATAAAGGTTTGTTTCGAGCAGAATGCCGCAGGCACATTGAGATTCTAACCTACATCTTGGCTACAAGCTATATACCTGTTGGCGCGACCTTGTCAGTCACATATCCGTACATGATTAGTGATGTCGTATAAAATGTCTATGTGTACTGGCATGAACTCGTTATCTAACCATCACTTTGAACATATTACTGAACTTGAACTTAGATTTTGAAAAGTTGTTTGAAAAAAGTGCTTTTTGTGCTTTGTTTTGCGAACAATCATAGCTATGCAGAAGAACAACCTCGAACACATAGAAATCCCAATTTTTATCGTGATTGGTTCATCACGATTACTGAACTTCAACTTTGAGTATTTTTTTGAATTCTCAGTTTCAGCATATGCAAGTGCGCACCACTTGATTTCCATCCTTTCTGAAGGACAACCTCAGCGGGAAATTTTTAGCGAAGTTTGTGCACTCACCAGCTGCGCAATCCCCATACGCCTGGTTTTGACTACTGTTCCAAGTCGATGGCCAGTTGGGATCTATAATACAGTGAGAACACGAGCACGAGAGCTCGAAAGCATTTCGCAGCAACAGCACTTGGCTGACTATAGCACTAAGACATTAACCAGTCTAGCAGGTGGCTCGATTGCGTGATATTCCGTACTACTTCAGATACTCTTGAATAAGACGATTCAGTTGAAAAACACTTTCACAATCGAAGAGATATAACCAATTTCAAACAAGAAAGAGCATATTATGAAAGATAAACAAGAGAAAAAGGACCATAAAAGTGATTTCCAACATAAACATACCGTAGTATTCGCACTTGACACAAGTTTAACCAGCCATATAAATAACCACTTCACCAACAGATTTCTGAGCTTCAAATATTCTACCACAGCTGAGTAGACGTGTCATAGCTAAGGCCGCCTTTTGCTCCACGTATGAACCAACCTTAATGAAAAAGATTAAATAAACAGCGATGCATAGAACAGCAGCATGAAAACATACATCATTTTCCCTATTCTTTTTATCTGCTGCTATCGTTCTGCTGCACCAGCCGATGAATAGATAAAATAGGCTTTGCTTCTTTTCATCCGGAATGAGACTGCCACGATATTCTGGACTAACATTATCAATGATCACAGCAATAAGTTTGGAATAGTGTAGCCGCATCATCGTCACCACTGCTATGTCACGATCCTGATATAATCTTGCTTATTATCAAGGACTACATTTCAACGTAAAAACTGCATACCAGATCGCTTTCGAGGTTTTCTCTCATCGATTCGATGAAATCGAGTATGAGTGGACTCAGACTGCCCAAACCATCTATCATTGCGGAATCCAATAATCCACGGAATACAGCCACCTGATAAGGTATCGATATTGAGGGGTACGAAAAAGTTTAGATATACCTTCCAAATACCACTAAATCCACTGCACCTAAAAAAGCAAGCTTTCTGACTGAAATGGGAAGAAAACTTCATTTGGACTTTACTCGAATTATATACTTTCAAAAATTGTTGTTGTTTCGAAAATCCAGAATTAATCACAAAAACTACTCCGTCAGTAGTCAACGATGTCTCAAGTCGAAAAAGCCAAACACTGAAAGTGATTGAGTGCATCCGCACGAAAATTTGAAACAAACCTGAAAACGAGGAACTTACAACAACATAAAGGCCAACGCGACGAAGAGCAACGCGGAAAAGAAAAAAACGGTAAGAAACGCGGAGAAACAACAAAATCGAAAAAAACGACTAAAATATGAAGAAAGAGGGTAAACAGAGGACTCATCACCGTGGAGTTAGACGTTTGCTTGCTACGCGCCAAATCGATACGCAGCCTGCTCCGGAGCCCTCCCATTTGTGCTCCGGGGCCCTCCCATTTCTGCTCCGGAGACCTCCCATTTCTGCTCTGGAGCCCTCCCATTTTCTGCTCCGGATACCTCCCATTTTCTGCTCCGGATACCTGAGAAATGGCGTACCTTTGCAGCAGGGCCGGAGAAGCGTCCCATTTGCCTGCCAGTGATGTCACCGCGACGGACCGCCCATTTGCCCCGCTCTCATTGGTCAACTGGGTCCGGCGCGACTCTGGCAGATTCGGACTGTCCGGCGGAGGGGTCCGGTCGATTGTCTGAGACTGTGTTTCCTGCCAAGTGCCTCTAGCTGAGTTATGAGTTTCTTGTCGCAAAAAATGATAGCAAAATCTAAGTAAAATCAGTGGTTATGGCCTTTCCAGAGCTCAAATAAAGGAGTGTTTAGCAGTGTATTGGACAAAGGGCTTTTCATGCATGCTCTGATATCCAACGCAGGCCATTTGCGCAAAGTTTGACGAATTTGTTCTAACTGGGCGTTCAGGAACGAAAAGAACGCTCAAAACATAGCGTCTAGAGGCGCTTGGCAAATAACAAAAACGGTTCTGATCAGAGTTTTATCCTTTTCAGATTGGATATATTCTTATACTTATATAAAGGCTGAATGTGTGTTTGTCTGTATGTATGTGTGTACGTATGTGCGGAATAAAAATTTTTATTTCAGAACAATAGGCTACTTTTCGTTATCGATCGGTATCGGTTTTATCGATTTTTATCGATTTTTTTCGATTTTTTGCAAAGTTCAAGCTACGGGGCTGAGATTTAGCGCAAGGGGTAATCAAACATGCGGATTACGAATACTGTATTAGTTTTGGATTTATTGCCTTTGTCAATTTTATCGATTTTTGTCAAGTAGGGCTACAGGGCTGGGAGTTGGCACAGGAGGGGGGGGGGGTAAGTGAGCATGCTGATTACTAACACACCGGGGAGGGGGAGGGGGAATTGGCATGTAGAAGCGCGCAGAGGTTGTACAAGGATAGGGATGGACCTTTATTATAGTCTTTTAACAGGGCCGAGCGTAGCCGGGTAAGCCAGCTACTACTTCATCTGGAAAGCCGATTTGACTTCGGGTCCTTCCCTTATAAGTAAGTGCTCGACTCCTTCTGCAAAAAATGGAATCAGATGCGTGAAAATAGCTCTAGAATGTAGATGCGGCGGAGATCTTCCACATAACAACGTAGGTGGTCTTCAGGTAACATATATGATCTGAAATGCAGAAGAAACAAGACGTCAAAACGTGCTCCTCACAATAATATGCGGATTTTCGGCCTAGTTACTCTTAGCCCTACTTTGGATCAACTGCCACAAGCGTCCAGGCAACGTACAGTACCGTATTCAGCGGACGACTTGCATCGGCTTACAGGGTTCGGGCGTGGATTCATTGCGAGAGCAATGGGTTTTTAGCTTAACATCCCTTGTCTTAAAGCAATGGGTGCTACTTACAAACCTGAAAACAGGTCATCATATTCGAGTGAATGAAAGAAGCATTTATCGGAATACTCGCTCATTCGAGTGGAAAACAAACACTTAATTGATTATTTTATGGCGAATAATGCAGATAAACGAGTATCGATCTTTTTCGCAGTTTTTTCAAGGTTCTGTAAGCGAACTCGAATTATGC